CTCCAAGTTAAACAAAAGAAGTGCATTTTTTTACTTAAAATTTTAATTTTATGCGCATGAACATTCTTTTAGGTTTATTTAGGCACATACATTGACCATAACACTCCTGTGCATCGTTTTTAAAGAAAAATAAATGGGAGGTTTCCGGAAACATCTCCACAAGCCCTAACTTCCCTGAATTGCTTGTCAACTAGGAATAACACGTGTCTGTTTTGTTTATTGAATGAATCACAAAACACGTTTCTTCTGCGATTGTCCAAGCCACTCACACCCATTTTGCAAATTTTAAGTCCTGGTTACAGGTGGTGGTAAAACAGCTCCGCCCCAAGGACTGCTTACCTGGCTGTTGTACAGAGTGTCTCAAGTTCACAGATACAAAAGGAAAAACTGTCTTAGGGTTTGATGGGGACAAAACTCTGGTCTCTGTCCACCTTCTGCATCGCCCCTGGGCAGTGGGCTCTTGTCTGGCCACCCAACCCAGCAGCCTGTCTCGGGGCCCCAGGCTTTCCTGCCCCAAACTCTCCAGGGGAACCTCTTGGGTGAAATTGAAGACAGGCAGACAGTCTCTTTGCACAACTAGAAGAAGAATTAAGGAAGTGGCTAAAATGTGAATAACCCAATAGAACAAATGATCACCAATATTCAGTCACTTGGGCTAGATCGGGGTACCTGTGGCTTTCAAGCAAGGGATCCCCCTGCGTTCTCACATCCTGGGGAGAAAGCCTGGCCCTCTGCCCTCAGCTTCCCTCTGGACTTGCCCTTTGACTTCCTTGCTCATTGGAATTTCTCTAAGAATAAGTGTATGTGAAGGAGGAAGAGTTTAGAGTCAAAAAGACCTGTGTTTGAAGCTCACTTCTGTGACTGGGCAGATTACCAACCTCAGAGGACCTCAGTTTCCCGATGGAAATAAAAACCACTCTGGGTGTGGGTGGTAAGGTTCGTTTTTTTTTTTACTTTTTATGAGATAACATGGAAATCTCCCTGGCTGGCTGGTGTAATTGACCTCAAAAAAGTATTTGTCATATTTCGACCTCCTTCTCTGCGTTTTAAAAACAGCTTTCCATCAGATTCTGAGGAGGAACATCAAATAAGAATTTTATCAATTACGGACAGGTTTGAGTAATGTATCTATTAAAATGTTCCCATTTCCCAACTTTCATGTTGTGAGAAATTAATATCTTTCCTTTCAAAAGCCAGACTTCCTCTCTGCAATAGATACTGCACTCTTATTGAATGTAGAGGAAATGGGGTAATATCTAGAAAAACTTCCAAGGCACAATTGGGATTTGCAGGTTTGGGGAAACTGCGTATTGGACATGATGAAGCAATTGCTTTTGATCTAATGTACAAGGTTCTGCTCCTCTATACAGGGTCTTATTTATTGTTGCTTCTAGATGGCTTCCCAAGTCTGACCTTTTAGCCTTGATTCTTGTCTTTATTTGTACTTTGGAAATCAGTGATTGAAGCGTGTACTTTCAAATCAAACCATCTAGGTTTCAAACCCTAACCGCACCATGTTTTCAGATGTGATCATGGGCAGGTGAACTAAGCGTCAGGTGCCTTATCTGCAAATGGTAAGGGTGATCCCACCTTCTGTGTGTGTTGCCCGTGAATGATGTCACACATTCAGACTGCTCAGCTCAGATGCTGGTGTGGATAGCATGCACTCTGTGGTGGCTGTGGTTGTTAATAATTTTCCCAAGTCGCAACTGTGATCTCAATGTTTATCATTCTGTTCTCCTTAATGTCCTTTATTTTCCATTATTTCCCTCCAGTAGAAACCTCACTTTTAAATTATAATGTTATAATGTTGATAATTTGCTGCCATCTGCAGGCTAATGTGGAAAAAGCAGAACATGAAGTTACGTGCTAACTTGCAAAGATTCTCAATATAAAATCTCAAGGTCATCTTGGAGGTCCTGAAGACAACTGTGGGCAACCCCATGACCCCATTTTCTGAGACATTGTTTTCCCCTGGTACTCTGGATACTTGTGTAGTATTAGAATTCCCTTAGATTCTTTTTGGAGTTGGGTGGCTATGCATAAAATATTGTTAGTAATCAGATACTGCAGTTCCCTTCTTAGGTAGATTTGTAAAATGCTATTTATTAAAATGTACGAAGGAGTCTGTTATTTAAGGCATGGTTTAGCATCTGAGTTTAGGGCTTTGAGAGGGGTCTTGTTCTAGTTGGAGAACTTGAAAGGTCCCAGCAAAACATTAAAAACAAATAATGTTTATAAGGAACGTTCTATGGTTCTTCCTATATTGCCTGTGTGATTGCTACCTGTATGCTTGTCTCCCATTTCAATCTCATGCTCCTTTGTAACATAGCCTGGCATCGGGATAAGTTTGCGAGCACGCACGGACCCCCTTAATGGTTTCCCACAGTACATCGCACAGCTCCTTCCCAAAGTTTGAATCATCTGGAGGGGGAGTCCGAGGTGCCGCTGCCATATAGCAGGGGATGGGCCCACTACAGCCTGTGTGCTGAACTACAGGGTTGAATTTTGTCCTGAAAACCACAGGATTTTAAGCTGGGGAGTGACATGATCAGACTTCTATCATAGAAATATTACTCAGGCCGCCTGTTCGAAGCTATTTCAGAGGGAACCTACAGAAGCCATTGTTCTTTGGGCCTTACCAGCACTGATTGTACTTGCCCTATGTTGGTTCTGCGGGGGAGGGCTCAATTCTGGTCTGTTTGCTGCCTCAGTGTGTGGTTTCAAATGGCTTTATTCGTATCACTTTGATGCCTTTAACAATTCTGTAAACACCCTTCAGGTGGGCACTGTTTTGATACTGTTATACTAGTGATTAATGTTATTTTAATTACTACCATTATGCAGTTAATATACAATAGGCTATGTAGCAAGTGTCTTTGTACTTTTTACAGGATGTGCGTACATGTTATGTCATTGATCCGGCTACTCCTCTTAGGTGGGCCACGGCGCTGGCTCCTGTTGAACAGGCATGGCATTCTTCCTTCCTCCTGCCTGCCTGGCTGCTAGTCCGTCATCTGCGCTGGCGTCGTGCTCCGGGCGGTGCCACAGAACTGCTGTGGCTGAGCGGGCATTTCTCAGAACAGGATGTGGGGGACAGTCCTGGTGTCTGTAATGCTCACTGGCATGAAGAGGGGCACCTTCCCCTGGTCCCCTACATAAAAACATCTGCAGCTGTGGGGGACTACAAGAACACAAACCTGTGAGATGGGAACGGATGGGCCCGACTGTGACACGGGTGTCGAATTTAAGGGGATACCCAGACACTCAGAAATCAAATAATATATTAACAAGGTAGTTGAAAAATTTAAAAGTAGTGTATCCCGGCGCGTATGGCTCAGTGGTTGAGCATCGACCCATGCACCAAGAGGTCGCTGGTTCGATTCCCGGTCAGGGCACATGCCCAGGTTGTGGGCCTGATCCCCAGTGGGGAGCATGCAGGAGGCAGCCAGTCGATGTTCTCTCTCATCGATGTTTCTGTCTCTCCCTCTCATTTCCTCTCTCTAAAATCAATAAAGGAAAAATAAATAAAAGTAGTGTAAAGAAACCCATGTTGAAGAAAATATTAAAAATTTGAAGAGCAGACCAGGAACAGCAAAGCTATTTTGGAGCCTGTGGGAAAAGAAAAATCAGCACAATTGAGCCTGTTGATTTAAAATGTGGGTATTTTTTTTTTTCTTTATTGATTTGAGAGAGAGAAAGGAAGGGAGAGGGAGAGAGAGGCAGAAACATAGATGAGAGAGCATTGATTGGCCGCTTCCTGCATGCCCTCTACTGGGGATTGGACCCACAACCTGGGCATGAGCCCTGACCAGGAATTGAACTGGCAACCTCTTGGTTCATGGGTTGACCCTCAACTAATGAGCCATACCAGCTGAGCTAAAATTTGGGTATTTTGTTCATCTTGGATTCTTTGAATTAACTTTGATTTTTTTCACAAATGATTACATTAAAATATTTAAATTATTCATATTGAATGTTTTGGTGTCCCCTTATATTTTACACCCAGGGTGTGGGGGCCTTACCCTAATCCTAGACATGGTTGGGTGGGCAGAGGAGAGGATAGAGGTACTGGGAGGCAGCTGCCTCCCTGGGTTCTCTAGAAATATTGGAAATACTGAGTTCTTTCTGATGGATGGGCAGACACTGGCTGTGTTCCAGGGGAATGGGCATCATTGGGGTTGCTTTTAAATAATGTGGAGAGTCTTTACATGGGTGTTGGTCTTTTCTCTGAATATACACATCAGGAATTTTCTAAGGGTATCTGGATTTTATACACACACACACACACACGTATATATGTGTGTGTATATATATATGTATGTATGTACAGGGTGGGGCAAAAGTAGGTTTACAGTTCTTTTGGAAAATAATACAGTAATTAATAAGTAATACAAGAATAAAGTCTGTTTTTCATACAATTGTAAACCCACTTTTGCATATATATATCTCTACACAATAGATTGTGTAGCAAGTATATATTTTTAAAAAGCTATAAACCGGTGTTTTCTACTACTTAGTAGAAAGAAACAGAATAAAGCTTCTTCAGGCACTGAGTCTGCTCAGCATTTCTCCCTCCCTGAGGTTGTTCAGTGTTGGGTCTGACAACCAGAGGAAGCTAAAGCTACCTAGGGCTCCCCCCTTGCTTCCTGTGACTTACTGGCCGTGCTGAATCACTGGTTTAGCATTTCAAGCCTTGCCAAGGTCCCATTCCTGGCCTCGTGACGACTCTGCTTTGCAGGGACTGTATTGTGACTGTGGACATGAACAGAAGCTGGGAGAATGCTGTTTTCTAAATTCGTATTTTGGCGAAGTCTAAGCTGGTGGCTTTTAGTGGTCAGCACCGAGTCTCCTGTGGTCCTTTCTCGGGGAGCTAGGTCGGATGGAGGTGCAGACAGATGATACGTGGATCTAACCTCATTGGCTTGATTCTGGCTGGGACAGTGGAGATTGAACTTAGCTTCCATGTCTTACAGACTTTTTTTGTAACTCCCAACAAGGTCTGCTGAGAACAGACCCAGTGCCCGAGGCTGGAGAAGATGCTGCTGCCACGATCGATACCACGGAGACCCTGTCCCAGGAGGAGCAAGAGGAGCTAAGGAGAGAGCTTGCAAAGGTGAAAGAGCATTCCTCCCAGAACTTCCTGCGTTGCACTTAAAATATAGCGTCATTTGTTTTTCCAACACGTGGTTATACCTGATAGTTGCAGGGGAGAGAAAGCAATGTGCATTCACTCGTCCTAGAGTAGGGGAGAGCAGATAGAAGAGAGAGGTGTCACTTTGTTTTTACATGAGCGAAGCTATATGTGGGTAAAGCGGTCTGGAAAGTAGAGTGAGAAGGAGGAAATGGATGAGAGGGGTGCTAGTGGATGTCTTTTAAGGGATCTTCCCACATCTTATACACTTGGGTTTTTGTCTTCGTCAGTGACTTTGCTCTACCCTTGGCTATGAGTTTCTATGGGCATTCAAGTAGAGATGTCCAGCAGGAAATGTGGCCCAGAGGTCAGGAGAGAGGATGTTAGAATACTTTGAATATTATCTGTGTAGAGATTTGAGTCCAAAGCCTCCATGAGACAGCTGAGTGAGGACGTATAGGGACAGGGCAGAGGGTTAAGGACAACTCCACATGGAAATATGTAGCAGAGAAAAGAGAAGCCCTTCAGGAGAGATGAGCATGTAACCAGTTTACGTAACAACACGTTCTGTATCATTTTTTTAAGGAAACAGATAAATGAATAAAAAATGTTTCAGGATGCCTTGATAATTTTGAGTATGGTTTTGCACTAATAATCTGAATTTACCAAGTGGCCTTGCTGTGTTCTTACCCCAACCGCTTCCTTGCAGGTAGAAGAGGAGATCCAGACTCTCTCTCAGGTGTTAGCAGCCAAAGAGAAGCACGTGGCGGAGATCAAGCGGAAACTTGGGATCAGTTCACTCCAGGAGTTCAAACAAAACATTGCCAAAGGGTGGCAAGATGTGACCGAAACGCCTGCGTAGGTCCCCCTGACCACACACTTGTCTAGAGACTCTAAAGGATGCCTTTGCTCCTTTCGTCCGGAGAAGGGAGTAGAAAGAAAGGCAGTGAGGATGACTCTGCAACTTTTCTTTGTACTAAACAGGGCACTTTACCCCTGATTCTCAAGTGTACCGGACTCTCCTCTAACATTGGCCTTCCACACTGTTCTAGGGACTAGAAAGAAAACCAGAAATAAATAAAGAAATAAAGTTTAAACCACAAAAGGGTCAGATATTGACTAGCCAGATAGGCACATGCCATTTAGTTCTCAGAATAATGGGGTAGAGTGGGTGGGAGATAACCCTGGATAAGGAGACAGGACTGGGTAAGTTCTGGGGTCACATGCCTATCGAAAGTGGAGGCAGGATTTGACTGGTCTCCTTTTCCTGCTCTCTACTTAGCATGAGATTTTTGGGGGACCATTTCTGACATGTGCTGGTGACAGAGGCTCACCCCTTAATCTTTAGTCTTTTTGATCGCGTAATGCATTGTTTCCCTGCACGAGGAGGAGCATGCATCAGTAGCAGATTCCGAGCTGTGTGTTCTGTCGTCTGTATTCAGTCCATCTGCTGAGCTGGTGACAGCAGTGCATTTGATATGACCACACTAGGGTGCCCACCCCTGTGGTCCACTTTCTACCTGTACATGGAGGTAGTGAGAGGACACACGGGAAACTGTTAAACTGCGTTTGTTTTCATAGTGATCTCGAAAGGGTCATTCCTTTCTTTTCTTTTCTTTTCTTTTCTTTTCTTTTCTTTTCTTTTCTTTTCTTTTCTTTTCTTTTCTTTTCTTTTCTTTTCTTTTCTTTTCTTTTCTTTTCTTTTCTTTCCCTTCCCTTTTCCTTTTCCTTTTTCTTATCCTTTTCCTTTTCCTTTTCCTTTTCCTCACCCAAGGATATTTTTCCATTGATTTTTAGAGAGAGTAGAAGGGAGGGAAGCAGGGGGGGAGAGAGAGAGAGAAACATTGACATGAGAGAGACACATTGATTGGTTGCCTCCTGCACGACCCTGACCAGGGCCAGGATTGAACCTGCAACCCAGGTACGTGCCCTTGACTGGAATTGAACCCTCGACCCTTCAGTCCATGGGCTGATGCTTTAACTACTGAGCCAAACTGGCCAGGGCGAGGGGTCATTCTTTTCTATAATGTGGGTTCTGGACCCCTTTGCTGTAGGTACCATATCCCCCCACCCCCCGTTTTGCTAATCCCTGGGGAGATGAGAAGAGGGAGGTGGTGAATCATACCTCTGTGTCCCAGCAAACATTACACTCAAGTGTCAGTTATTTTAAATATCGTACCTTTAGGTCCTCGTTGGGAGTCCACAAGCCCTTGTTTGGTAGCTCTGCAGCCATGCAACATTGCAAAAGTTCTTATGCTCATTCAGTTCACTCGGGTAATGAAGTGCATGTATGCCTGACCTTGCTTCTGGCCCATTTTTAGGAGATAAACTTGTAAAAGACTTGCACGGAATTGATTTCATTTTTGTTTTGTTTGGCTTACCTGGCAAAAGCAAGGAAAAAGAGGTGCCATTTCTTTCAGCCTCTGGTTCATTTTCATTGTTTCTTTGGGACTGTTTCTAGCCCTTACCCTAACTGCCTTGGCCCTTCCCAGACCTCTCTCTGTCCAGCTGTCCTGGGAAAACGCAGAAGGCTGTGCCTAAAGTGATGGTAAAGGATTTAAATGCTGTGATGATGCCAACCTGGTGGTTGGGAAGGATTTTAGATCTTCTAGAAAAAATGGTTAGCTTACTTTTCTGTGCTCTGTTTTGTATAATTTGATATAGATACAAAAAGACTTCTGAAACCTTGTCTCAAGCTGGACAGAAGGCGTCAGCTGCTTTTGCATCTGTGGGCTCAGTCATCACCAAGAAGCTGGAAGACGTCAAGTATGTCCTGTTTTTCTCTTGCTTATTCTGTGGCTGAGGCTGTGGTTGCCTCAGTGTCCCGGCTCTGCTTCTGGGTGAAACTGGATTCTGTCCAGGGTGGGCAGGTACACTTTCAAACCAGGGCCTGAAACATTGTCTCAGGTCCCTCAGGCCTAGCTGTCTAACATTTAGGCATCGGGTTCAAAATGATCACCTTATGAATTTATTTAAAGTTTTGAGCAATTCTGGTTGTGAACTTTTGTCCTTTGAGTCCGTCCTGGTCATACGGGGTAAGTAGGCCTCTTGTGGTTGCAAACTGTGGTCGTGGGCCGAGCCTGGCGTGTCCCTGGGGGTGAGTCCAGGACCCACCTTGTCTTCTCCATGGTACGTTTTCACACCTCCGTGGCACCCTCCCACACTCACCTGTGCGCTGTTTGCAGTCATTTGAAAGCCACGTCCACGCTTCTGCTTAGCCCGAATCTTGATTTTGCGTTGTTACTTTTTATTTTGCATTCCTGTTTCAGTTGAGTCTGCAGAATTTTCCTGGCTATTTTGATAAACCTGCTTCCCGTGTGTGCCCCACGTGGGTTGGGACAGAGACAGACGTGATTTCAACTGGCTGCGCTTCAGCTGGCATGAACGATGTGTGTTCAAAACAAAACCCTCAGATTGCATGACTTTGTGCTTTTCATTTGTGGGGAAAGGAGATTTTACAACCAGAATTTTGTTGGCTGAACAAGTTAGGCAACTTGTATTAGACTTTGTGCCCCAAACACCAGACAACTTGCTCTTGGTGTTTGTTCTGCCGTCGTTCGAAGCACAATGTCATGAACGCGACATTCTTGAGCCCTGGGGACAAGGACATAGACATTTCTCTTGCTCTCCTGTCACTGTGTGCCGACTCAGCGGTGCAGCATTTCAGAACCCAGTTCAAACCTTACGCGACGGTAAAAAAGTGGGTGACTTCATTCTTAGATTTACCCGAACTTCCTTTCTTTTTAATGCTTACTCTGGCTTCTTGCAGATTGCAGGCCTTTTCACACTCCTTTAGGTAAGGGGCATCTGAGCCCTCGCTGCAGCTCACAGGTGGTTTGCCACAGTGTGCTTCCTTAGATGATGATGCCGCCGTGGATGGTCGTGTTTGTCCACTACCTGATTTTCTTGCATTTGGAATCTTTTTCTCTCTGGTGCTGTTCCTGTTTTTGTTTTTTTAAAGGGAGGGTTTCTTGTGTACCATGGGTCATGGATAAATTAAAAGAAAAATTTGACACTGTGGTTCAAGGCCTGTGAAAATGATTTTGACATTTCTTTTTTACTGTTTAAACAAAAGAAGCATCTCTACCATGGCATGCAGAATTCCTCCCTTGTAATGTCTGGCTTTGTTTGTTTTTGACACTTTCGTTTCTTCAGTGCTCTTGTAACAATGGGTCCTTCACCTGGTCCCATTGTGCATTTGTAATGGACTGGCTCACGCCGGTAGTCCTCTGTCTCATACAGCTTACTCTGAATGTGTTTTATATGTATGGTGATGTGTATATATATATATATATATATAAGATAAAGTATGTCTATGGTAAAATGTATATGAGAAAAAATACACTATTACTCAGTACTTTTTAGTACCTGTTTTACTAGCGTATAATTTTTACTATTTATTATTTCTTCACTGTCGTTTTATTCTTTAACTGTGCACACAAGGACATTTCACAGTTGTAAAAGGGAAAGTAAAGTCTATTAGGCCGAAAAGGAAAGCCCATCAAAAAGATGTCAGGCCAAACCATGCCTTCTAGAAGGAACCTTAGGGATGCTGAGCAGACCTCCCCGTCTCTCCCATACAGACTGTTGATACAGTTAGTAGTCAGAGAAAACCAGGGTGGAGGAGGGTGTTCAGAGTGTAGGCTGGAGGACCGTGAGTAGTCGCCACCTCTGTGCTATTCAAAAGAACTGTCTCCTCAGTCACTCGCTCTCTAGCTGTTTGTCTTCTCAGGCAAACAGGTACTTATGGCTGAGGCCTTTCTGTCCTAGGGGCACTTAACCCTGGAGGTCAGAGTAAATCATAGGGATAAATCAACTCTAAATACTGAACTGCTCAAATTGTGCTTAAACAAAGAAGTCAGTAATAGGAGGGGATTCTGTGTCTTTGATGTTCAATCAAGAATGGCCTAAGAGCTCCAGGCCGATGTTAAGAGAGTTTTATCTGAAGTCATGTGAGTTGTGTGAAGACGTATTCTGTCCCATCATCCATCCTGCTAACATCAGAGAGGCTGCAGGGGCAGGTCCAAAGCATAACCATCAACGACGTGGTTCTTGTTTGGAAAGACCTTCAAATCCTGGAGTGGATGGAGCTGGGGAAGCAAGAGGGGTCTGGCAAGGAGTTGGGAATGGGAGAGCCCTGTTACCACCTGGTTACAAAACAATGTGAGATGTGATATGGACACACATATAAAAATGTGAAAGTGCTGGTGCGAAGTGACGTTTCATGACTGTGAGCACTGTTTTTTCACTGTCCCTTTAAAAAGGTGGACCAAGGGCCCACCAGGTGGAGCCCCGTGTGTCCTCTCATTGATCCTCTGGAAAGTCGCCCAGGGTCGCTGCTTCTCTCCAGCTCCTCATTTACAAAACACATAATTGAGATTATATTCTCTACCATTTTCAGTCCTGTTTTCAGTGAATACTCTATTGCATAGCAATTCGTGGACGTTAAAGTAAGGCTTTTGATGAAAACTTGGAAATGAGAGAAATGAGATTATTTTTTGAAAGCTAAATTTTATAATTAACTCTTACAGATTAAAACCTGGGGAAAGTCTCTTAAAAAATAATTTCTAGGCCAAGAAGTCCTGATTGTAACTTGACTTAATGTGTTCATATATAATAGAAAATATTTTTTTATCCTCACCCGAGGACACTTTTGCATTTATCTTCAGATAGAGCGGGAAGGAGAGAGGGAGGAAGAGAGAGAGGGAAACATCGATGTGAGAGAGACACATCGAGTGGCGGCCACCCACACGACCCCAAACGGGGCTGGGGACAAACTGCATTCGAGGGACATGCCCTTAGTGGGAACCGAACCCAGGTCCCTCTGGTTTGCAGGCTGACACTCTAACCACTGAGCCAAACCGGCCAGGGCAGAAAACCACATCTTTTAAACCCGTGAGTCACAGAGGCACAGCCTGCCACGTGCCCCTGAGAACCATGGGAGGAGAGGGCGCTGGGGTAGATTCGAGTGTTTCACTGGCAGCAGCAAGGCATTTTCTGGGTGCAGGAGGCCCTGGAAGTGGTTGGTTCATCCTGTTAACTCCCCTTTGTTCTGGCCCATGCTTCCCCAGCAGATGGGTGGCCATGATCTCTCTCTCCGAAGGAGTTGTGGATATTTTGCTGAATGGAATTGTTAGACTCAGCAACAGTTTTTATTTTATGCTGTCAATCAATTAGCACTTGGGGTTTGGATATGTGTCTTAAGCCCTGGGTGGGTGTGTAAGGAGAAGAAGGGGGTGTTTGAGGGGGAGGAGGAAGAGAAGGAGGAGGAGTAGAGATCTGGTCCTGATGCCATAAGAATTAGGTGCAGCAAGGTTGGGGGCAGACGTGGGAAATGGGACAGGGGACGTGGTGATGAGTGGTATCTGGGAGGCCCTCTGGGGCAGCCAGCTTTCCCCCAGGTGGTGTGTTTGTGTCCACCCCTCTCCTGTTTGCTTTGTTCCTACACAGGCATGGTCAGCACTGACTCAGCTTCCTAATGTTTTGAGAGAAACTGCAGCCTTCTTATTCCCCTTGGTTCTGGTGTTGAACATTGAGTTTAGTGTTATTAATAGCACACTATAATAATTCAGTAGCTGCATTCATCAAGTATTTTTTATATATTTAAGGGGACGTGTTAATTAACTTTGTCTTTATTTCCAAAGGACATTTCTTTTTCTTTTTCTTTTTTTTTTTTACATGTATGCTTCTTCATAGAAACACGTAGACAGCTTCTTTAGGGTCCAAGGAAGGGCTGGCGACATCTGGAGTGTTGTAAACTAAGAAGGATGATTTTGATTCATCTCGGTCCTTGAAATATGGAACCAGTATTAAGCAGGAAAAGAAGGAGCAAATCCCTCCCTGAATAGATTCCCACCATTACAGGATAGAGAGGGTGCTGAGCTGTGTGGCTCTTTTCCTGTGTTATGGAAACATTAAATAGGATTCTCTTGACTCCACCACTGCTAGTATGCCTTGATTTGTCTCAGGATCATGCTGCATGTTATTACATAATCATGCAAAACTAGATTTGGGGAGCTACACTTGAAACACATTGTCACTTGTAACAACCAAGTCTTTGAGAAAATTAAATCATAAACACACACAAGATTGAAAAAGAATAGAGAATACTTTGGACCATCGACTTACCCAAAGGAAGTTATTGACCATAAATGCCGTGTCTGTGATCAGAGTATTCTAAGTATAGTAGCAGTATCAGCAAGATACAGTGGCTTTGTGCACCCAGGAATGAAGGGACTTCATCTTGTGAGGTGGCCTCTATGGCAGATGGCTGAGAGCGGTCAGTGAACTGCATTGCCCTTAAGTAAGAAGTTGGTCCTAATCCAACAGGGCCCATTAAGAACATTTAGTTTAATTGGGATGAAGTACAAGTGTCTCTTATTAGAAAACTGATAGGACTACTACCAAGGAGGCATATGAAAGTCACTTAACGTCATCAAATAGGTAACTCTTTTTTTTTCTTTTTTTTTTAATCTTCACCCGAGGACAATTTTCCATTTTTGTTCAGATAGAGTGGGAGGGAGAGAGAGGAGGAGGAGGAGAGAGAGAGAGAGAGAGAGAGAGAGAGAGAGAGAGAGAGAAACATCTACGTGAAAGGGACACATCGAGTGGCTGCCTCCCGCACGACCCCAACCAGGGCTGGAGACAAACTGCAACTGAAGTACGTGCCCTTAGCAGGAACTGAACCTGGGTCTCTGGACCGCGGGCCGATGCTCTAACCTCTGAGCCAAACCGGCCAGGGCGGCAAGTCATTTTTAACTTCCTTTTCTGGTAACAAACATGTAGAAGAAAGACGGCTGAAGAGCCCTCCCCAGGCCTGGCGTGTGTGTGTGTGTGTGTGTGTGTGTGTGTGTGTGTGTGTGTGTGTACCTATTTGTGTGTGCACCATTTTTTGAGGGGAGGTGGTGAACATTAAATTGGGATTCCAAACGACCCGAGTTTCATTTTTGATTCTGCTGTGACCTTGGGTAAATCATTTAACTTCTGAGCCTGACACTCGATGCCCAACGGACACAGGTGAAAGGACTTTACAGTTTCCAATGTGCTGTAAAAAGGCAAGATTGAATTGTTAGCTCTGCTAACTCCCGGGGTTAAATGGGCTCAGGAATAAAATTAAATTATGTTGGAATAACTTTGACCCCCTCCACCTCAAAAAGCAGGTAATTCTTCATGGTGCCAAAAGAACAAGCTTCTAGGAAGCACATTTGTTTATTTTATCAGGTCTAATCACCACTGTACTAACTTCATTTCTGTCTCTTTTTAATGCTGCCTTAGTATACGCTCCATTCAACATTCAATTAGCATGCCTGCTATGAGGTAAAGTATGTCTTTACAGAATGTTGTTGGTCTTCTGCCTTGTCATTCTTTATTGAGACCATTTCCTTGAACTTCCTGAAATGGGAACTAGTTCTACCCTAACAAGCTGCCGGTTTAGACCCTGCATCCGTTCTCAGCTGCTCCTCCTAGCGCGATAGGTTGGGTTCGAGAGCTCCATTAAATGTTGTGATTTAAAAAAGTGATTTACTGTATTAATTCTGTTTTATGTTGTAAATTGGTTGTTTCTTATATGAAGTCTGTTATATTGAAAACATGACCACGACTCGTTGAATAAGCCCTCCCTTTCCACGGACGGTGGTGCCCCAGACTTCTCTCCACAGCAGCTGAGTCACACTCCCCCTTCTCCATCCTCCCATTTCTGAGTCCCTCATCTTACCATGACCTTTGGAGCCACCTTGATTTAATTCTTCTGTCCTCTTTCATCAGGGCGCACTTGTAGTTGTACATGTTATGATGTTGTCTACCTCCCTCAGGAGGCAGGCAGAGCATCTCCAACAGTCTGTTTGGACAACAGAACCACCTGGAGGGCATGTTGAAAGCACCTGGTTATCAACCCCCCCCCCCCCACCTAGAGTTTCTGATTTTGTCTGCCCAGGGTGGGACCTGAGAACCAGCATTGCGAATAGATTGCACAGAGCTACTGATACAGCTGGTCTGGGGACCACACTTTGGGAATGGCTGCCCATCACCACTGGGGGCGGGGGGAAGCCCTGTTTCCATCCTCACCTTCTTCATGTTGGTAGCAGGAAGGATAGTCGAGGTCGGGTGGATAGTATAAACGCTTCAGACACTCCTATGGGAGCGACCTAGGCACTGGGACCCTCCTCGATCAATGAGGACGGACGTGAAAGTGAGGGGGAGGCTCTCCCTGGGCTCAGAGCTTCTGCCTGTGGGGCAGCTTTGTGAAGAGGCCGAGCCAGGCTTCTAGGCTCCTTCCTTCCTTCCTTCCTTCTGGTCTCTCCTTTCCCATCTAGTACGAAGCTCCCTGAGAAGCCGATCACTGTTATGGAACCTCCTCTGGTCTGTTTGTCCTGTTTGGTGATGTGGGTTCACATAGAAAGTGTGCCCGGCAACATGAGAACGTAAACATGAGTTCTAGAGCATGGTACCTTAACCAAAATTAGACGGACCTAACAGTGACACGTTGGTTGGGGAAGTGACAGAATGGATGTGTTGCCTGACTTGCTTCCTCGTCACATAGGCACTTGACTGTATATTTATATGTCTAAGACTGGCTCTGTTCATGGGATCAGAAGCATCATTGTAGAAATCTTTGTATGCCGGCACACCTGTGGGATAAAGCTGTCTGTCCTTTTGCTGAGAGTAATGGCTAAGGGAAGTGCAGTCAACTAATGATGTTTTCAAATGTTCAGTGTTCATGATTTTACTATTTATTTTTATTTTCTCTCCATAGAAACTCCCCAACTTTCAAATCATTTGAAGAGAAGGTTGAAAACTTAAAGGCAAGTAGAGAGGTGAACATAGTCTTTGTGTTATCTTGTTTGCTGCCTGAACTCTCTGTGGTGTGGGCAAATCATTCAAATTACTGTTTCTTTCTAAAATATTTAAAGAACATGAATAACTCTATTCTTTACATTTTTTTCTTTATTGATTTTAGAGAGAGAGGGAGGGAGAGAGAGAAGGAAACATCGGTGAGAGAGAACATCAATTGGCTGCCTCCTGCATGCCCCCCACCAAGGATCTGGCCCACAACCGGGCATGTGCCCTGACCAGGAATCAAACCGGTGACCTCTTGGTGCATGGGTCAGCGCTCAGCCACTGTGCCACACTGGCAGAGCTATTCTTTACATTATTAATGGATAGTTAAGTTGATCAATCTTAATCAATTTTTCGAGTGTATGTTGTAGCATGGTAGCATTCTAAATGCTGAAAAGAAATGTATAATTTAAAAAATTAATACTTTAGCCCTGGCCGGTTTTGCTCAGTGGTTAGAGCCTCGGCCCACGGGCCAGAGAGTCCTGGGTTCGGTTACTGCTAAGGGCGTGTACCTCGGTTGCAGTTTGTCCCTGGCCTCAGTTGGGGTTGTGTGGGTGGCAACCAGTCGATGTGTCTCTCTCTCTCTCTCTCTCTTCCTCCCTCTCTCTATCCTGCTCTATCTGAAGATAAATGCAAAAATGTCCTCAGTAAGGATTCATAATTTAAAAAAAAGACTTTAGAAATTTCTAATGCTTTTTTTTGCATTATTCACTTCAAATACTTTTGTAATTGGAAGACATTTAGTATAAATTTTATTGTATAAAATTAAAAACAATATAGAAAAGCACAAAAACAAAAAAATTGGTCCTGCAACCCAGAGACAGTGCTATGTCTGCAAGATGACTGCTCATATGATTTTTAAAAAGAATTAACCATACATCATACACATCTTCCTATATCATTTAGTATTCTTTCACAATAGTAGGTGTAATGAATGCCTACATATGCTTTATAATGGATGATGATAATTGGTTCAGTATTCAATTATTGGGCATTCTTATGATGATGATACTATGATGATCATCGTTGATGATTCACTGTTTATTTTTTTATTGCTTTAATTTCAGCAGAGGTGGACATTTTTCCATAATGATTAGCTTTATTAACTTGTAAATTGTATTAGCTTCAGGATTATATTCCAAACGATTAAGTCATCCACTCTGAGGATCATGTCATCAGGAACGTGGTTTGGTTCCCATCCACGGCCCAGCCTTCTCTACAGAGTTCGTGCAAAGCCCAGATGTTCATTTCTTCCTAACTAATTCTGATAATGATGGTGGCTATTTTTTAAGGATTAAGATGAATATCTTAAATATTTTCTATAAATTGACTTAAAAACACATATTCAGATTTAGTTGTACAGAATTGAGTCCCTCATTTTTAAATGCATCATTTTAAAATTACATTTTGGTTTACCTATGAAGGGAAAACCAAACACCGTTAGGAGTTGTAATCCTGGCCAAAAGTTGATGGAGAATTAAGGTAGTGTCAGTGGGACAAAGTCGAGAGATGTTTAGAATTTAGAAGCGACGGACAAAAAGGTAGTGATGGATTGATATGGAACGAGATGGGGACAGGTCAGGGCTTACTCCCAGGTGCCAGAGAATTCAGTTTTAGATACATTGAACTGTTAAGGACTCTTAACATTTTCTTATGACCAAGGAATGTGTCTTAATAAATTTAATAAATACACAGTGGATACAAGTTATGCTCATTTTTCAAAGATTTTGGATGGGAGACCAAAAAGAATGAGAAAGCAAGTTTCAACTAGATTCCAGTTGTTAATGAGTCTCTGGGCAGTCAGTTAAGAGTGAGCTGAGAGCAAAGTCAAGTTAAACCCACTGTGAGTTGTATCCTTGGTCACTGACTGGTTTCTCAATGTTAGTTGCTGTCCTGTTGGTCAATAATGAGATGTATCAGGCAAACATCAGTGTTGTTGAGGATGAAGTGATATGTGTAAGGGCTTTGAAAACATAGAATACCATATAGAATACTATACAATTGTAAAGCAGATCTATTCACTGAAACGTGTTTTTTGACAGTTTCAGGCCAGATAAGTTGGAGTAGTGCTTCACACGATCAGGTGTGTCGGAAGCACCTGGAGATCTTGTCGAAGTGCAGATTTCAGTTCTGTAGATGGAGGTGGGCAGGTGGGGCTAGAGTCTGCATTTCTAACAAGCCCCCAGGAGACGTCTAGTCCGCAGGTCCTTGGGCCACACTCTATAAGTAGCAATAGGTTAGAAATCTGACAGTGTAACTGGGGAAAATACACGTTCCTTTCCTTTGTTGGAGTCCATCATATATGTGAATGAGTGTGGCTAAATGCACAATTTGGTGGACTACAAAGATTGCCCTGTGAAGAACAATGAGCACATAGGCAAGAGAGGAGGAGGGTCAGAATTTACCGACCTGAGTATTCCAGCAGGGAAGACTGCGTGACTTTCTATTGAACTGTACTGAACACAGCAACAGTACTCAACTCCCTGCATGTAGTTAACCGCTGGGCTACTGGGGTCCTGATTTTTCTCCAAAGTAAAATGTGTGTTACTTTATGCAGAGTCAGCTAAAGTGTATGTCTCATGATGTCTTTCCCTTTCTGAACTCTTTAAAAAGTCCAAAGTAGGGGGGACCAAGCCTGCCGGTGGTGATTTCGGAGACGTCTTGAATTCTACTGCCAATGCTAGTGCTACGGCCACGGAGCCTCATCTAGAACAGACGCAGGAGGGCCCATGAGGCCCTGCCGCTGTTCTGCCACCACTGCCAGATGCTGCCAGCCGGAGCAAGCACATCTTGTCAACGTTCATTGCTGTGAATTACCACCCCACGTGCTTTTATTTAGCCTTACATGTTCCTTTGACCAAATAGTCTGTGGGTTGAACAAAATAAAAATATCTTCACCTCTGTTCCTGGGAAACACCTTTGATGTGCATTTCAGGCCATTGTTTAGGGGGCACCATTACCAAAACACGTGTAGCACCTGGGGACCCTCACTAGAATGATTGGAGAAGCAGCAGGTTGTCATCATGGTTTTCCTACTTTCCAAAATTGCTCTGGATCTGGGATGTCAGTTTGATCTTTGTCTTCTATATGGTTTTCTTTTTCTTCTTGTTTTTGAACCTCTGTATATTTGATTCCTAACTAAAATCATTCCTTTCAGTTTTCTGAATCTTGGTTATATAAAGTCTTGGCACAGTTTTCTTTACCTCCAAAAGAAGAACTACTAGCTACAAAAATTGTTTTTGCATAGCCATTGTTTTGGTGTAAGGTTGTCTTATATCTTGGATGTCTGAAGACACCAGACTAAGTAGCTGTGCATCCACTTGTTATAGTTTAGTAAGTGACAATATGTACAGTAATTCAAACTCCTTAGGGAGTAGAGTGGAACCCTCACATCCTTTCACCATTTGTGACAGTAATCATTTCAGTGCACTGTCTTATGCCACTTACATCAACCTGTTTTTCACCAAATTAAGTCTGAGTTTCAGAGTTAACTACAGAATGACATTCTGAATCAAGCAGATTGTATGATCAGTAGGCGGATATAGGAACACTCATCAAATACTCAGTTCAAAAGCCGGAAAGTTTTTTAGATTTAGTTAGAGGCAAAAATGCTAAAATCAATCACATTAGGGGAAACATTCCTGTCTTCATTTAATTCATTTAGCACCATTTAAAAATAAAAAGCACACAGAGGTTTCTAACAAATATAATTTGAAAAAATTTTTATACTAAGGGGTTGGTGATAACTCCAGAGGATTTAATGCATTAATAAAAATCAGCTCATTTTCTACTTACATGTTTTCAGTGTGTTAGAAATTATTAAATAATTCTGTAGACACTGCCTCCTGCTTCCAACACTGTGTCAGGGCTGAATGCACCAGAGCCTCTGGAAGGATGTGCGTGGAGGCCACGGTGCTCTGTTCATTCTAACAGCTCCTTATACATCACCACTACCTTTCCTTCTGCTGTGTATGGTTATGGCCTACAATGTTGTATTTGTTATTTATCAAGTTGTGATTATTTTGTTATTGTTTATGCCAAATGTTAATTGCCAAGCTTGGAGTAACTTAAAGCTTTTTTTGAAAAGCATGGCTAGATTTACTTCGGCAGAAATTAGCTTATGAAAACCACACTTGAAAATACACAAGTGTTGACTGTTATAAAAGAACATGCTACCCATCTTGATGATTAGAGCTTGTTAGCACTTTAGATGCAATTGAAACTCTGCTCTACTATGTGTGAAAAGCTTAATAAATTCTGTATACCAGTAGTGTAGGTCTCAGTATTTATTATGAGACCAATGGTCTGCAAACAGCTTGTTGTATTAAATAATCAACAGGTGTCTATGCTAAAAAGGGGGGGGGGGATTTCTTTTACCATCTGCTTTAAATCATTGTTTAATGGTATCAGAGTAACATATTATAAATTATTTCCTTACAGAGGATTTAAGGTGAAGGTCTTTGAAGCATTGTCCCAGGGGAGTGCATCTTTAGAAATCTGTTTTCGTTTTTTTTTTAAAAAACAGAAATATTGTGGTTACTCAGCATAACTGTTAAGTTATATTTTTCTACCAACTATGTTGTCTTTCAATTTTTTATCACAGTATCCTCTCATCATCTTCTTTCTCAAGCATCCTGCCATTACTATCTTTTTAATGAGACAAAATGAAGTAACATGGTAATTTTTTTAGTTAGGTGAAATATCCTCAAATCTCTTTAGTTTATGGGAAGATATGATGGAAATGGAGGGGGGGAGATGAGATGGGTGTATGTGGGTTTTGGCAATGGCTGTTAATAGAAGAAATCAGAGAATCACTACACTTAGTCTAAAAATGACTTAATCTACTGCACAGTAAGTTGCCTCTTAAAAGAAGTAGTCAAAGGTAGGGGGAGGGGGAGTTTAGAAAAATATACATGGATTTAGAAATACTATTCAAAGTGGTCTTTGTGGAAGATTCCATGTTATGAACGCGCACAATTCCACTCTATTGTGTTTTGTGTTTGACACTTTAAGAAAACTGCGCCTTGAGAGCAAACTCTTAGATATTGAAGAAGCTTCAGAGAAGAAAATAACCCCTGAAATTGTCCCCTTCTTACAAAGAAACGTCATTGGTTTATGGAATTTGTGGGAAAGAAAGCAAGAATTCTTATGCTGATGAGGCCAAAGTAATCAATGGAAGAGAGCAGGGCTCACTGGATTATCATTTTAGTAACTCAAATTATTAAAATAGAGAAAAAGCGTGTTTAATATGGAAGCACTATTTCTGGATCTGTTAATCAAGAAATGCACACTATTTTTCTTTTGTATAGTATTTGAAAACAATAAAAAAATCTATTATTTGGGTATGGGTCTTTTTGTATGTATGACGTCTGTTGAGGAAAGGCATGACAACTTCTCTCCAGACCCTCCATGTCCCAGACATGGTAAAACCATACACACCTATCAAACAAAACTGAATCCATGTATCAGACCAGACTGAGATGGCTACGTGCTGAGTACCCACAGGCATTTCAGTGACTGTGCTGTGTGTGCCAGGAGGTGCTGCAGAAGGCCGTGACAGGATCTCATATACATATAATTTCTTTTTAAAAACCATTTTATTGAGGTTTGACATACAAAAATGGCTCAGATTTAAAGTGTACAATTCGATGTTGCAACATATTTATATACCCTTGAAACCATCACCACAATCAGATAATGAACATACCCATTGTCCCCCTCACCAAAGTTTTCTTATGCCCTTTTGTAACCAGTCCCGCCCACCCCTCTTCTCCTTACCCCATATCCAGGCAACCCCGATCTTTTATTGTTGTTGTTGTTGTCCTTACCCGAGGATATTTTTATTTTTCTTTTTAATCCTCACCCAAGAATATTTTTACATTTATCTCCAGATAGAGCAGGAGGGAGAGAGGGAGGAAGGAAAGAGGAAGAGAGAGCAAGCGAAACATCAATGTGAGAGAGACACATCGATTGGTTGCCACCAGCATGACCCCAACCGCGGCCGGATACGAACCGCAACTGAGATATGTGCCCTTGGCCGGATCGAACCCGGGACTCTTTGGTCCATGGACCGACACTCTAACTGCTGAGCCAAACTGGTCAGGGTGGATATTTTTTTCGTTGATTTTTAACATAGAGTGGAAGGGAGGGAGAGAGAAACATCGATGTGAGAGAGACACATCTATTGGTTGCCCCCTGAACAACTGTGACTGGAGTCAGGGATCAAACCTGCAACCCAGGTAAGTGCCCTTGACCAGAATTGAACCCATGACCCTTTGGTCCTCAGGTTGATGCTCTAACTGCTGAACCAAACTGTCCAGGGCCCAATCTGCTTTTTGTCACTATGGATTAGTTTGTGTTTTCTAGAATTCTTTATAAATTGAATCATATTCTATACATTTCTTTATAGCTCTGAAAACCCAGATGAAAAATCAGATTCTTGCCCTTAGGAGACATTTGGCCATTAATTAGTGACTGTCCCATTGTGATTGTATTAATTATAGAGACCATGTTGGATTACATACAGTTAATATAAAGCAGTATCACTTTAAAAAAAAATGTTTTTGATTTTTTAGAGAAGAAGGGAGAGAGAGATAGAAACATCGATTGGCTGCCTCCTGCATGCCCCCCCAAAGGGGATCGAGCCCACAACCCCGGCAGGTGCCCTGACCTGGAATCCAACCAGGACCTCTGTCCATGGGATGATGCTCAGTCCACTGAGCCACACCAGCTGGGCGGCAGTATCACTTTTAAGTAAACCTGCAAACCTTAGATTTCACAATTTTCATAGTTCTGATTCTGAAATCCAAATGAACCAAAATAAGTCAAAATAACTCACTTAATTGGTAAGGCACCGGAGGACAGGGCCTGCAAATACCTGTCACTTGCCAGGATTTCATATTCAGATAAATGTTCCGAAGCAACTAAAATTCTTGCCAATGCTCATGTAATTTTGATGTCATTTAGTGAGGTTGGCTGGTAGTGATTATTTTAGTAGGGTGATTTTCCTAGAACACAGCAAAACACAAACACGATTTTGTTGTTTGAATATTTTTAAGTGGGTAACTCCCTTTAACACTCCATTTCAACGTGCTTTAGTCTCCCCTTCAGTTTCTTGGCCTGAGTCTCTTTTTATTCTTCCACAACTCCTTGAATGTTACTGCCTACCCTCACACATCTACACGATCTCCTTAATGATCTTACTCATCTCTGTGGCTGAAAAGACTATCTTGAGAGTGATACCAATATCTCCCCAATGTATGGCTAGCACTATCCTTTTTTCCAGGTTTTCATAAAAGCTCAAGAGGCATGCCTTTCTAATCTAGTCACCTCCATCTAGCCACTAGTAGCCACTATTTATTGAGCTTCAGTCAATGCTGGGCATTTTACACTTGTTTCCTTTAATATTTTACTCGAGGATGTGACAGTGTCACTTTTCTTTGTAGATGAGATCACAACCAGGTGATGTGGAACTTCCTGTTCATTTTCCTTGCCACCAGCCATTACTAATGTTTTTACAAAGTATACTAACAACTTGCCAGCTATAGGGGGAAAAAAGAGGCCTCCTTTATAAAGAAGGCCTGGTCCAACGGGTAGAACAGGATCAGAGAATCCCTAAGTGCCATGAAGATGTTAAAACTGCATCAGAGCTGATGTTTCTGTTGGTGATTGAACAGGCAAGGACAGTGTGGGGATATCTCCTTGCTGATTTGCCCAGTCCTTTACAGTTCCTCTCATTTGGTGCTCTGATGCTCTATCAAAGGCAGAGAACTTAGTATATCATGAAATCAATTAATACAAACTCACTCATACATTAAAAACTTGAGGATTTGTCCCCAAAATGTCTGTTGTCACAACCCTCAAGGAATTCATCGTCTGGCTGACGCAGGACAGGAACATAATACATTTATTGAATTTAAGAGCTGGGATATGACTAATCCCATTTGTCCTGTAGATATGATGTAGTTAAGTTTACACACACTTCCTTAAATTTAACACAGGGTCTAATAACTTGGTTTTACAAGTAAGGAAAGCAAATTAACATTAAATTGGCTTGCCTGGGATCAGGATTAGGGTCCGGACTAGAATTAAGGGTTCTTAAGGTCACAGGCCAATGCTCATTATAATTTATCACACTTTTCCCCGAAGGGAAGTAGAAGGAAGTAGCAACAGCCATACACAATAATGCAAAAATATCTGAAGCAAGATTTCAATGGCCAAGGGAAGTAAATGGTTTAGGTGCCCAGAGGGGAGAACTCACCTGGAGTGGAATTTATCTTAAACCCCTTACTGAATTTGTAAGGATTGTCTTACAGTAGGCTAATTATTCTTTAAGTATGCAATTCATACAATTATGTATCATCCCAAGGTTAGTTTACTTCTGGTGTTCTGTAGTTTGACCATGCAATTGACTAGAACATAAAAGCATTATTAAAATAGGGCTGTGGGCACATATATAAAACCCCTTCTGTCAAAGTACTTGAAATAAATCAGAAAGGATGCTCCTCACTTCCCCCCCAAATAACTAATTATATATAAATAACTGCATAACTAATGAATATAAAATTGCTGGACAGAAGATGGGTGGATAGCTTAATCCATAAACACTTCAAGTGCGGTGTTTGGTTCGGTTTTGAAGAGTGTGGGCAAATTATGAATTAACATTGGGGGGAGGGAGAAAAAGCACGAGTGAGGGTGGGGGGCTCTGGTGGTGCATATTTAGGCAGATTCTGAAATGTCTCAATTCCCTATAGGGGACTGCAGATATGTAGAGGTGACAATCAGGTCTCGGAAATATTAGTATCCTTGTAACGTGGGCGGACTGACCGCAGAAAAGACAAAGACAAACTGGGTCCAGGATTTCACAAATGTCTGAGCCCGGTGTCAGCCATCCAACAGCTAAACGAGGGAGCAACGAGGAACAAAATTGCTATAGATCAACTCTATGGCATATTGAGAAGTGCTAAATGGAAGAGCGGAAACCGGGGAGTCCCACAGTGCGTGTTTGCGGTTCCTACAAAGACCTGGAAAACCGTGGCTGGTGGGACTCAGTGTTTGACCATCAACCCATGCGCCATGAGGTCGCCTTCCCCGTCAGGGAACATGCCCAGGCTGTGGGCCCCAATCCCCAGTGGGGGGCATTCAGGAGGCAGCCAATTGATGGTGTGTCTGTCTCCCTCTCCCTTCCTCTTTCTCTAATTCCTCTCCCTCTAACATCAGTAAAGGAAAAAAGACCTGAAAAGCGGTGGGGACAAACCTTGCGGACACCTGGCGCACCCGCGCAGGCGGCGGGACCAGCAAGTGTCGCATTACAGAATTTACAGGAGAGCGAAACCTGCAGCAAACGACTGAATCCACCCCACGTCCCGTCCCGCCCCCGACTCCGCGCCTGCGCCTTCTATACCGCAACCACACGCTATTAAAGCTTTGCGGCCAGTGGGCGGTGCTTCCGTTGCCCCACCCGTGACCTGCGCGCTGGCGGAGAGGTTAAAGGTCAGAGGTTCCGTCTGGAGCAGTCATGGCGGCGCTGTGTCGGACCCGTGCCGTGACTGCCAAGAGTCATTTCTTGCGCATATTCCTCTTTTCCCGGCCCTGCCGAGGCGCGGGCACCGAGAATGGCTCCGGGAGCGAGAGTCCCGAGTCCACGGAGTCTAGAGCGCGTCCAGGCGGCCTGGCGAGCGCTCTGGAGCGGCACTCAGAGCTGCAGCGTAAGGCGGAGCTCGGCGGGACGCGGGTGAGTCGCAGGAGCTGTGCCAGTGACGCGGGAGGCGGGGCTGGGGCTGGGGCGGGGCTGGGGCTGGGGCGGGGCTGGGGTCGGGGGCGGGCCCGGGAGTCGGGGGCGGGCCCGGGAGTCGGGGGCGGGCCCGGGAGTCGGGGGCGGGCCCGGGAGTCGGAGCTGCGGCCGAGTGTTGAGGTCTGGCTCCCTTAGGCGGTGGAACCTGGAGTCGTGGCGGAGCCCAACTTGAGGGTTGGGGCTGAGATTCTGGGGCGAGGCCGCCGTTGTTCTGGCCCACTGGCCACGTGAACTATGCGGACGCGTTGCCTGTTTGTCTTGCTTTTGTTGAGCTTGTGTGCGGCATTAACCTGCTGGACCTGCTGTGCCCACACCCCTTTGCTCGTGTTGTCCTGAGGTGGTTCAGGGCGACTCCTGGAGTCGGAGGCGAATCGGACTCACTTGGAGAGGCTGGGCCCTCTGCTTGTCTGGTTCTAAATCTAGGCTGTAGGTCCAGTGCGGTGCTTGGTACCTGGCTTGCAAGGTTCTTTATATTTGTTAATTCAGTGGGTAGGTAGGTGAATGAAAGAATAACTGTCTCTAGAACTCGAGCAAGCAATTTAATCTGTCAGTGCCCAACTTTTCTGTAAATGATAAAAAATTCCTATCTGACTCAGGCAACACTTGTTCAATACAATAGAATTACTAGATAAATGAAATGAAAGAACTAGACATAAATGCAAGCCATATTCTTTTTAATTATTAGATTCAGCAGACGTGAAATTGGATATCTGGAAATATTAATTTATATAAAAACAAACTTAGTCTCTGTACCTAACTCCTTGGGGACCAGTAGCAAACAGTTCTTGGATTGGTAGTGTCCTGAATTATAGGAAAAACTGCCTGGCATCCAGCACAGTGCTTGATTCTCAGTCAAGTGGGCTCTCAGTGTTTTCCAAATGAGTGAATGAATGAATTGTACACGTAGTGCATATTTGAACTGAAATTGAGATATGTGTGTGACTGCTCAAAAACAGTTGTAAAAGTGAGAATAGTACAGGTGTGAATATATTGGGTATGAACACATCCAGAATAGTAATTGATCAAAAACAACTGTTAAGAGTAATAAGATAGCTGAAAATGCATTTGTTTTTATTTTAATGTTAATTGGAAGTTTTCAGCGCTATTCTGACTTATGTTTATGATGAGGATTATGAGCAGTTAATTAAGTGTCCATAGAGAGTAAACTTTGTGAAAACACTTTACTTTTTGAAGTTTCTAGATTTATTTGATTGAAGAGTGTCCCCAGATTACAAGATGAATAGTTCATCTTTATTGTGTGGCCAGGATTTTTGAAAAAACTTAATTTTACCAAGTAATATTTGCCTACTTTAAAAAGAATTTAAATATTTGAATGTTTCTCTCTCTCTCTCTCCCCCTAACCCTCTCTCCCTCCCTCCCTGCTCCCACATGATCTATCTCAAGATAAATGGAGAGATGTCCTCGGGTGAGGATTTAAAAAAAAAAATTAAAAAGAATTTAAATACCACTGAAGGTTATTGTGGGAAATGTAAAAGCTCGCTTTTCTCTTTTTCTCATTTTCTCAAGGCTGGAGGGTGTTTTTTTTTTTTTTTTAAGTGGCAACTTTCAGAGATTTTATATATACATTTGTAAATACAGGCTACGTAGTTAAGTACAAGTGTAATTATACTTAAAAACGCACAAATTGGTTGGTACAGTTTTGAAGTACATTATTCCTGTTTCAGAGTGTAAGCTCTGGATTCAGACAGTGTTGTTGGTGTGAATTATGGTTCTATCATTTACTAGTGTTTCCTTGGAAAATTACTTAATATCTGTGTATCTTTTCCTTTTTTATAAAAGGAAGCCCTATGTCATGAGATTGTTATGAGATTAAATGAATTCAACAGTACAAATACTTAATAAGAAGTGTATTTAGTTGCTGCTACTGAAAATTGTTATTTTTACTTAAGTACATATAACTTTAAATATTTTCTCTTCTCATTACATATGTTTGTGTATATATACCTCACTGAAAAAATGGTTGCTTGGTATTCCCTGGTATGGATATAGCATAATTTATTTAACCAGGCTTTCATTAATGAGCTTCTAGTTTTTTTTCTGTTTTTTTTTTTTTTTCTTTCTTTCTCTTTAATACAGACAATGCTGCTGTGAGTATTTACTTTTTTTCATATTTATGGAATATATGCTGGGTTAAAGTGTACACACAATTTGAGTTTTGATAGATAGAGCCTGTTTGTGCCACATTCCCACTTACAGTGTGTGATGGTGTCTGATGGTATTGTAAGTGGATTTTCTTGATATACAGCAGTCAAAACAAAATACAGAGATTGGGAACTTGGGGTTATTATCCCTCACTCCTGATAATCAGTTTGTGATTTTTATAAAAATAGTGGCATGTTCACATTTTTTGACTTAATAATACATAAATGCTATTAATTTGAACTCACAAAATGTACTGTTAACAAAATGCTACATTTATGTTATATCTATATTGGGGCTCTCTGTACGATTTCATTTGTTTTTGTTTTTTATAGTCTTTTTATTATTTATTTACTTATTTATTTATTTAAAAATTTTTTTTTTTATCCTCACCCGAGGACATTTTCTCATTTTTTTGTTCAGGTAGAGTGGGAGGGAGAGAGAGGAACAGAGAGAGAGAGAGAGAGACATCGATGTGAAAGGAACACATCGAGTGGTTGCCACCCGCACCGACCGACCAGGGCCGGGGACAAACTGCAACCGAGTTATGTGCCCTTAGCGGGAACCGAACCCGGGTCTCTCCAGACCGCAGGCCGACGCTCTAACCGCTGAGCCAAACCGGCCAGGGCTGTACGATTTAATTTGTAACATGGCTTCTGCTTAAAACATTTTTTTGGAAGATACAGTTTGCTGTACCCTAAACAAACCTGTATTTCTTTACCTTTTCTCCTTTCCCTGGAATTAGTGTCCCTGCTTACAGGTTCCATTGTAAAAGCCACCATTTTTATTAGGCCTTTGTCATCTCCCCAACCAGATAAAACTCCTTTTGAGTCCAGGGTTTTGTTTTATACTATCTTTATGGTACACACACAACTCTTAAGTTATGTTAAAGTCATTTGTGAATTTGTTTTTTCCTGTTTTCTGGATTGTAGTTCCTGGAGGTTAGGATCATTTCTTATTCACCCTTTTCATTCCTTGCATAATGCCTTACACATAAGTAGGGATTTAATATATATTTGAACCCTGGCTGGTTTGGCTTAGCGGTTAGAGCGTGGACCTGCAGTCCAGAGAGACCCCGGTTTAGTTCCCGCTAAGGGCATGTACCTCGGTTGCAGTTTGTCCCCGGCCCTGGTTGGGTCGTGCGGGTGGCAGCCACTCGATGTGTCCCTTTCACATCGATAGTTCTCTCTCTCTCCCTCCCTCCCACTCTATATGAACAACAGAAAAAAAAAAAATATATATATATATATATTTGATTATTTGAATTGGAATTAAATTTACACAGTTTGATGGTTGAATAATTAATTATACGTGAGAAATAACATCTCTGGTAGCCTATTATGCTATTGTTGGATTTAAATATATATTTATGAAAGTTGAAATTGTACCCATTGATTTAATTCTTATACTTCAAGTACAGACGTAATACATCTGTATATGCACCTCAGAAATAAGTGATCTTCAGTAGGAGCCAAACAAATTATCCTTAAAAGGAACTTTTCCCTGCAGGTAGGAATTTAACCAAGGGCGATTCATCATGAACTCCTGATCCTCAAATTTCTATGAGGTTACTAGGGACCTCAGTTTAAATGACATGAAACGCTATTGTTTTGTGTGGAGGTTTGTAGGTGCCCTCTTCCCATGCTCACTTATCTACTTCTCTTTTCCTTTGCTTTGTTACCTTTAATATTGGTTTATGCATCTGTCTCTTCAACTAGTTTGTTTTTTTCAGGGTAAGGACCAATATTTTTTCATTTTTGTAACTAACATAACATGTATAGACAACCTAGTAAAACATATTTTTAAATCAGATACCTCTTTCTCGTTTCTTTTCTTTTTGCATTTTATTTATTTAAACTTAGTTTACATTTTATTTTTTCCATCACCATTTATCCCCTCTATGCCCTTTCCACCTCCACCCATACCCCCGTAATCACCACGCTGTTGTCCCAGTTCATGAGTTCTCTCTTTTTATTTCTTTTTTGCATAATCCTGCCACCCTGCTTCGTTTTATTTATTTATTTATATTGATGTTAAGGGAGAGGGAGAGAGATAGAAACATCGATGAGAGAGAACATCAATTGGCTGCCTCCTGTATGCCCCCCACTGGGGATTGGGCCCACAACCTGGGCATGTGCCCTGATCAGGAATCGAACCCGTGACCTCTTGATGCATGGGTCGATGCTCAACCACTGAGCCACACTGGCCAGGCCGTTTCCTTTATTTAAAAAATATATTTTAAAACCTTTAACACTCTTATGTTGGTAGAGATTTGTAGAACCTGTTAAGCCAATTGGGAGCTGTACTATAGCTGATCACCCATTTTATAGCCACAAGGTGGCAATAGTTGTGCAAAGAATTGATTTTCTGTTTTATGAGTATTAACTGTTTCTTAAGGGTAGAGGGTGGCATATTACTCCTCAGCACATTGAAAAATGGTTTGCAAGAGTTTTTAAGGTCACACAATAGAACATTTTATTATATTAAGATGGAGAATAACATTTTACTATTTTAGCTTATTTATGTGGAACACTAATGTTGCAAGACAGTTTATAGTTTCATTTTAGTGATATATTAAATAGATTTTGTGTAAATATTTTAAAATGTTACTTTTTACTTTTTCATAAATATTTTTATTGGTATTTTTTTTATTTCAAAATGGTGAAATATTCCAGACCATAGACTATTTAAATCAGATATTTTGTTTTTTCAGAATACTGGGAAAATACAAAATATAGCTTACTTAACGGATTTGTTTCAATATAAGGGGGAAATTCTCA